AAATAATGCAATGTTAAAGCTCTCTTCCCATGAAAACAGAAGATGAATAGCTGAATGCTACAGCTACAATGTGTGCCTTTATGATTATACTATTTCATATCCAAATACGAATGGTCCTTAAGCAAGGGGAAGAGGACAGAGTGAACGGGTGCCAGAGCCGGGTGCACTCTGTGAGCATCATATCTAAATATAGAAGGAACAGTGTGGTGATGTCAGAGGGTAGTTTTCGACGGTACTACAGATCAAAACTAAGTGCTACCGTCTGACCGTGGTCTGCTCCCCACTGATATAAAAGAGGGCAGTACCGTATTCAGTAAGCTTGAGTGGCGGGGCGCTGGTTGCGACACTGACTGCATATTCAGTGCGACCCCTTGTACTGATTCCTCGCTCCACTTCGAACTCCTTGTACTGATTCTTTGCTCCACTTCGAACTCTCGGCTTTCGGTTCCTGCACAATTACATTGTTCAGCGCGGTGCCAATGCAGAACAGGTTCGCTTCTGTCCTCACCTTTTCATTTCGCGTACGCAACGCCCACTCAAGGTCTTCCTCACCGAGACCAAATAGCGCCGGCTGCAGGAACCTCCCATCCGGCATGTCAGGGTTATGTTGAAGTGCAACGGCCGGATGGTTTTTCACGGCCCTTGTAACCTTGTCACAGAGAGCGTAAAATTCTGCTTCTGAACAGCTCTTTCCACAGATGATGAGGAGCTGTTGCAGTAACGGGAGTGCGAGTAGAAAGTTGGAGGGGAGACTGGACCAACTGCGAGAGCGAAGATAGTGGATGGACAGATCGGCGACAGAGTCGGTGAGGACAATACGGCGCACAGCCCAGGCTTCATCACCTCCACTGGGAAGGATAGACTTGACTATCTGGACTGAGATATGTGCGATGTGGCTGCAGAGAAGCCCGGCCGACAGAGAACCGGCAAATCTGTAGGTATCTTGGGGATACCTGGTGAGTATGATGATACGGTAGAGTGGCGAACATGAACTTACCTTGAGTTGCTTCTTCGACACTAAACTGTGAGAATCGGATCGTGTCATCGCCCAAGAACGTCTGGATGAACTCAATAACAGCCCATGTTTCTACAGGGATTGCAGGACCTGTAGGTTGACGTCGAGTGAACAGGTGCTGTGTACCTGCGGCAGCCAAGGCCCATGCGGACACTGCGATATTATCCGTGCAGTCCTGCAGCCGGATCTCGCGGACATGAGTGAAGGCGCCGCTGCATACGTTGCTCGCAGCTTCGACTGTCGTGAGAAGGTCGCCCGTCCATGCGACCTTACCGAAGTGAATAACCTTCAGGTGGGTGATACCTGCCAGTACGCGGAGCAGGATTCGAAACGACGGAAATTTGAATTGATAGAGATCCAGAGAAGTCGTGTTCTGCAGCGAACTTTTGAGAGCCGCGTTATATGGTAAGCGTCCGGATTTATAGCAAGCGATCCGGCACGTCCGTAAGAGACGAAGGAGAACCATTGAGAGCGGGCGGTCAAAGCAGGAGGCATACCGGAAGTTCACTAAGGTGATGTGCTCTGCAAGCCAGGATGACAGAGGAGACCGCAGTATACCGTAGAGCATGCGGCAGTCCACCTCGCTCTTCAGTGATAGGACGACGAAGAGATGTTGACGAAACTGTCGGCACCAGGCTTGCGAGACTAGAGATAGCCGTGATATACCAGTCTTGTCACCAGAGCCTCCAAGAAAGCTATTAATGCAGTCGTGCAGCTCGGGCGGCAGCCACTTCCAGCAGCGGATGAATGACTCAGATTCCTCACCTAGAGGAACATCATGGTTAGACTAGCTAAGCGGTCTCTCGAGATGGTAACTCACGCTGCGCGGCATCTTGCTTCAAGAGGTCCTTCCCGGAGGCAGAGGACTTCACGATATGATCCCCACTCTTCATGGAGATACAGGCCTCGGCACCAAGATTCTCTGGGGTCGATCGATCCCTCGTGGAGGGTATATTGCCGAGCAGCGGAGGTGATTCAGAGCAGCGAAGGGGAGCGGCCTGTGGGCGGCCAGATGCGATTCGAATGACCGTATACATCGTTTTACGCCGTATCAGCAAGGGGTCGTTGGAGTGCAGGTGGATGATAATAGCTGTCGTGGTCTAAGGGTCAGGGTTCGAAGAAAAAACAAGGCGCTGGCATGGAGGAGGCGGTGCCTACACTGTACCGTGTGAACGTTGACATTGGGACTTATATTAGATGGTATGAAGGGCTACAATAACGTCAACTGACCTGACTACAGCGAGCTCACGACGTGGAGAAATGTGACAAGCTCTAAAGGAGGCACTTCATATAGCCCATGTACGTTGTATAATATCTTCGGAGACAAAAAGCAGGTGGACAGCTGCCGTAGCGGGAGAAATGTCGTGAGAGCGAGGGAAGCGTCGTGATATAATGCCACGGCATCTGCAGCACGTCTCATGATCCTACACAACACGGAAACGACAGGGTAGGATACGCCAGATGGAGCGTCAAGGGTATGGTCCAACAGCGACTCCGAAACATAACATCGTGCTCAGACGGCATGTCTGCGAGGTCCAGAAGCGGGACATGGACCGACCCACTAATTCCTGTCACCGTCCCCCGCATTTCCTGACTCGTACCTGCACAAAACGCCGCTCAGCGAGCTACATAACGATTAATTGCCCTGCACACACCTTTTCCTTTTGTGCTGTCGCCAGATCTTCCTCGTTAAGATCAAATAGTGCTGGTTGCAGAAACCTGCCGTCCGGCATTTTGGGGTCGTGTTGAATCGTGATGCGCGAGTGGTTGTTCACGGCTTTTCTGACTTTGTCGGAGAGTGCGTGCAAGTTCTCTTCTGAATGACCACACCCGCAAAGGATCTGGAACTGGTGTAGTCTTGGGAGTGTGGGTAAGAGGGAAGTGATCGTGGACCAATCACGAGAACGGAGATATGGGCGCGATGCCTTGTACGCTTTCGAGTCGGCAATAGTGATTTGGCGAACAGACCAGGCCTCATCGTTGCCGTCGGGAAGTGTAGATCTGACAACCTGAACCGAGACATTCGCAATGACGAACGTCCCATGAAGCGTGGACGATAGGAAGCCAACAAACCTGTATGCATCTTGCGAGTATCTCTTGAGTACGATGTTTTGAAAGGATAGCGAAGGCGAAGAAACTTACCCGGAGTTGCTTCTATGACATCGAATCGCGAGTGCTTGTTTACTACGCCATCGCCCAAGAACGTCCGGATGAGCTCGATGATGACCCACGTCTCTGCAGGGACGGCAGGCCCTGAAATTCGACGTCTAGTGAAGGAATATCGTGTGCTTGCCGCCGCGAGAATCCAAGCAGGAACTGCCATATTGTCTGTGCAATCCCGCAGCTTGACCTTGCGGACGTGGCTGAAAGCGCCGGTACATATATCCTTCGCCGCTTCAACAGTTGTGATGGCGTCGCCCGACCATTTGACCGTCTCGAAGTTGACGGCCTCCAGGTGGGTGATATCGGCCAGCATGCGGAGCAGGATTCGGAATGACGGGAAGTTACAGCGAGTCAGGGTCAGAGAGGTAACGTTTCGCAACGAGCTCTTCAAGGCTGCGCTATATGACATGCGACCGAGGGGTTTACTGCACTGCGCTCTGTGGCAGATGGTGCGGCATGCTGGCAAGAGGCGAAGGAGCGCTATTGAGAGCGGATGGCCGGGAAAGGCGCTGTTGTCGAACTTCAAGGAAGTGACGTGCTCCGCGAGCCAGGCTGACAGCGGGGATCGGATTATGTCGTAGAGCACACGGCATTCGTCCTCACTCTTTAGCACAAGGTGGGCGAAAAGAAGAGGGCGAAACTGTCGAGACCAAGCTTCCGAGACTGTAGAGAGTCTTACAGCACCGGCTTTATTGGAGCCTGCCAGGAGGTCATAAATGAGGTCGCGTAGTTCAGCAGGGAGCTTCTCCCAGCAATGGGTGAACACGGAGAACGGCCCAGGTTTTCTACCTGGAAAACACTGTGAGTAGCACATCCGGGCAATCTTTTGCGACGGTGACTCACACCATGCAGTATAGCGCTCCATGGGATCTTCATCGGAAGAAGCGGAAGACTCTACAGAGTGACTTCTACTGCGTATGTAGCTCTCTACAGAGAAGCTGCTGAGACAACGTTTCTTCCGGGGCGGCCGGGGTACATCGTTAAGCATGGAGAGCGGTTCCAGATGGCGAGGGTTCGGGATGTGTGGCTATGCAGATCCCAAATGCAGATCCCTGACTGGTCCGATACACTTGGAAAACGGTCTTCACGCTGTGGCAGCGGCGGGACGTGTTTCGAGTGTGAGTCGAGGACGATGGCCGTCACGATTCGAGGGGCAGGGCGAGGACGACGACGTTGGACGAAGCAAGGCGCAGTGCCTCTGCCGCATCGTGCGAACGCCGGAAGAGCCGACCCGCAGCATTCGCGGGACATCTGTCCGCTTTATCCGACGACACGGATGGTGCATGACGTATCGACGAGCAGTGCCGATTCCATGTTAGCGTTGAGTGCGACCACAGCAGATCAGGCCGGTATGTTACATTTCCTTTCTGTAACAAAGTCATAGAACAAGTGTCAGGGCTGACACGGACAGTTCGAAGAAATGTAACAGCCGGATGCCAAAGACGCGCCTAGCACAACGACATAGTGGAGCATCTAGAACATATCGCAATGCCGAAAAGCGGCTACCTACAACGAAGACGAACGCGTACTCCAGCAATAGACGAGACCTAGTCATATGGCAATGCGTATAGGGTATACTTACTGTAAAAGTGCATGGGTGTGTTCATAAGGGGGGCATGATGTATGAGAGGCATGAAGCAGGCGCAGGGGAGAGACGAAAAGCACACGGCGCCACCTACGTCGGGCGTCCCTGCAGCGTGCGTGTGGCACCGCTGAGCCGGCCGAGGAAGCTGAGGAACGGGATCGTCGAGGCCTCGGCAGGGAAGCCCTCACCGCCGGCCTGGATCGCGTTGAAGCTCGACCAGGCCATGCGGTCGTAGTACGTCGCGGCGCCGGGGATGGCGGCGTACTGCGGCGCGGCCATCGTGCTCCCGACGACGAACGCGACCGCGGCCGAGACGCCGATGCAGAAGAGCGTGTGGCCGCTGAACAGCGAGGGCCCGCTGGCTGGGGCGCGCGCGGCGTCGCCGCCGGCGCCGGAGGCCTTGTCGCCGTAGACATACGTGTTGTAGATGTTGTAGAACCGGTTCCGCCGCTGCTCCTTGGCCGCGCGCGGGAGGCCCGTGTGCTCCGAGCTCTCGACGAGCCGGTCGATGGCGCCGCACTCGATCCCGAGCTCCTCCTTGAGCGCCTTCCAGTCCTCGACCGCGTCTTCGGAGATCCCTCCGGGCACGGGCTCGATGGGCAGCCTGAGGCCTTTGTGCCACTTCTTGAGGGTCTCGTTGGCGACGCGAATCGCGAGCGCGTCTTGGTCTTCGCCGGCAACCTGATTGTAGGACGGCGGAAGGTCGCTCGGGACCACTTGTTCGAGTGTCTGAGCTTTGGGTGTCGGGGGGAGTAAAGTAGAAGACGACGAAGCGAGAGCTTCTTCTTCCTCTTCTGTATGCGACAACCCCGATGCTGAGGGTTCTGACTCTGGTTCTGGCGCGTCCGTCTGGATCTCCATCTCGACTTTGGCCACCTGAACAGGTACTGGCTCCGGTTCGGTCTGGACGGACATTGCCGAGCACGACGCCTCGTCGGTCTGTATCTCTGACGTTGCGACAGTCGGTCGTGGTTCTGGGTCAGTTTGAACGCAGAATGTCTTGGTTGCGAGCTCGTGCTGTACGGAGGCGTCAGAGTACTCCTTGACCTCCTCGAGCTGAACCGTCTCAATCTTCTTGGCGCGACTTCCGACTTTCTAAACAGCGATAGTTTAATAACACGCCCAGAGTCACATATAACTGTGCTTACCCGCTTTGTCCGCGTGATGATCGTCTGCTGCACAACGTCCTCTCCTTCCGTATCCTCGTCCTCGCTCTCCTCCTGTTCCTGTTCCACAGTGCCCTCGGGCTTCTCCTCGTCGCCCCACATCCCGCTCTCCAGCTTCTTGAGCAACTCGGCGCCGAGACTCTTGCTGATGGTGCCCTTGCCGCTCGCCGTGCCGCCCGTGCTGAGCCCACTGTGCGCCGTCGTGCGCATCTCCTCGAGCTCGAAGCGCAGGCGGTCGATGACCTCCTTGAGCATCATGTTGTCCTGCTTCTGCTCGTCGAGCGCCGCCGCAGTCTTCTGCGCCGCGGCGAGCTCCTCCTGGAGGCCCCGCATCTGCTCGAGCCAGTGCGCCTGCTCGTCCTCCCACTTCTTGAGCTCCAGTGTTTGCAGGGCGTGCGACTCCTTGAACTGCTGAATGTCGTTGTCGCGGCCGACGACGATCTCCCGGTAGCGCTGCGATTCCTCTGCGCCAGCATCAGCTTCGTTCCGCACACACACAAAAAACAGCGTGTCCAAAAACAAAAAAAGCACGCACCGCACTGCTCGGCATACTGCAGGTTCAGGTTCTGGTACGCCAGCCGCGAGTTCTCGAGGCTCCTCGAGAGCTGGGCGATGCTCTGCTCGAGGCCCTGGATCTGCGTGAAGCTCGAGCGCTCCTTGGCCTTGAGCTCCTTCTCCTGGCGGCGCGCGCCGCCGAGCTCGCTCCGGAGCTCGTCGAGCCGCAGGTGCATGTCCTCGATCTCCGCCTCGCGCTCGGCGAGCCGCCGCTGGAGGTTGTCCTCCGTGTCGCTCAGCTTGCGCCGCAGCTCGTCGTTCACCCGCTGCAGCGCCTCGGCGCGCTCCGCCATGTCGAGCGACACCGTCGACGTCGTCGACAGCCGCTCGTGCAGGCGCAGCAGCGTCGGGTCGTCGTCGTCGTCATCGTCGTCGCCGTACAGGCCCTCGTCGTCCGAGTCGCGCGCGCGCGACGGGAGAGGAAGCGCCGAGAGCGGCCGGTCGTCGACCTCGAAGGACAGGTCCGACATGTCGCGGTCGCTCGGCGGCGGCGACATCAGCCCCGTCGTCGCGTGCTCGTGCTGCTGATGGTGGTGGCGGTGGTGGTGGTAGTAGCCGCCGCCGTCGC